GAGTGGTGTTCAAAATATACTAAGAAATAAAAACAGGTTACAAAATTCATAATATGATCCTATTTTTTTTTTAAGGATTTATTTATTTGAGAGAGAGAGAGAGAGAGAAGAGAGCACAAGTGGGAAGGGCTGAGGAAGAGGGAGAGAGAGTGCCAAACAGACTCCAAACTGAGCGCAGAGCCCCATGCAGGACTCAATCCTAGGATCCTGAGATCACCACCTGAGACGAAACCAAAAGTCTGACGCTCAACCAACTGAGCCACCCAGGTGCCCCTGATCCTATTTTAGAAAAGACAAACATAAAATATCCTATATACATACAGAAAAGACAGATAAGTACAGAATAACATACTATATATTAAATGTGAACAGTGTTATCTCTGTGTGGTAGGATTACATATTATTTTTCTTTTCTACTTTATATGTTTTATATTTTTCACAGGAGCCTAACTTTTTTGTAATAAGAATTAAAAAGTATAATTTCATTATAATTTGAAAAAATAAGCTTTCAATTTTTGAAAATCTTCTAATAAAAATATCTTAAACACCCAAAAAGAATGACTTATCCTTAAAAATTAACTTTCTGGGGCGCCTGGGTGGCTCAATTGGTTTTTTTTTTTTTTTTAATTTTATTTATTTGAGAGAATGAGAGAGAGAGAGAGAGAGCATGAGAGGGGGTTGGGTCAGAGGGAGAAGAAGACTCCCTGCCGAGCAGGGAGACCGACGCAGGACTCGATCCTGAGACTCCAGGATCATGACCTGAGCCGAAGGCAGTCGCTTAACCAACTAAGCCACCCAGTGGCTCAATTGTTAAGTGACTGCCTTCGGCTCAGGTCACGGTCATGGGATCAAGCCCTGCATCAGGCTCCCCGCTCCGCGGGAAGCCTGCTTCTCCTTCTGCCACTCCCCCTGCTTGTGTTCCTTCTTTCTCTGTGTCTCTCTCTGTCAAATAAATAAAATCTTAAAAAAAAATAACTTTCCGGGCGCCTGGGTGGCTCAGATGGTTAAGCATCTGCCTTCGGCTCAGGTCATGATCCCGGGGTCCTGGGATCGAGTCCCGCATCGGGCTCCCTGCTCCTTGGGAGCCTGCTTCTTTCTCCCTCTGCTTCTCTCTCTCTCTCTCTCTCTCCCTCTGTCTCTCATGAATAAATAAATAAAATCTTAAAAAAAAAATAAATGTGTCAAGCTTTTAAAAAAAAAATAATAACTTTCCTTCAAATACATATACCTGATTTTTTCTCAATTTGATTTGAATATTTGATTTCTCAAAATATCTAGAGCAAATACCTAGATTCACATTCAAATGTTTAAAAGCACCAGCATAATGAAAAACATTATTTTATATAAACTTCATAATAACCCTGTTAGATAAAGAGGAAATGAGGATGAAAGGATGAAATGAAATATGACTAGCAAAATGTAAAACTGATATTTAAATACGTTTCCAGGGACACCTGGGTTGCTCAGTGTTTAAGCATCTGCCTTCGACTCAGGTCATGATCCCAGGGTCCTGGGATCAAGTCCCGCATCAGGCTCCTTGCTCAGCGGGAAGCCCGCTTCTCCCTCTCCTTCTGCTGCTCCCCCTGCTTGTGCTCTCTCACTCTCTCTGTCAAATAAATAAATAAAATCTTAAAAAAAAAAAACAGTAAGGGATTTTTCCGTGGTGGTCAGCCTGGAACCAACCATCTAAAGCTTTTCCACTTCATCTAATTCACTCAGAATAAGAAAACTAAGCCTTAAAAGCCAGACATCCTAAATAGTACAACCGTTAATAAACAAGAGATGGCTGGCAGTATTAGTTGCTCTTATACTGGCACAAATTCTTGTTTTCAAACTCAAAGAAACTTTTGCACTGTTATTATTCCTTATAATCAGATAAATCAAGAAACCACCCAAAAGAAAATGGCCACAAATACAGAATGCTAAAATGACCAAAACTGATGTTTATTCTGCTTTACTTAAAACGTGTTGCTTTCTATCTTTTCTTTGACACTAATAATGACCTTATAATAAAGGTATGGTTTTTATCCTTTTCAAAAAAAGACAATGTAGCAAGGGTATTCCAATAATAATAATAATAATAATAGCAACTTATGTAGCTTATGCTAGACACTACTCTAAGCACTTTACTTACATCAGCTCATTTAATTCTTGCAACTCTATGATGAAAGCTCTGTTATCAACAGCATTTTACAGATGAGAAAACTGAGGGAGAGAGGTCAATGAACTTGTCCAAGCTGTCACACACCTAGTGAACAATATAACCAGAACCTGAACCCACACAGTCCTGTTCCAAGGCCCACATCTTTAACCACTACACCCACTGCCCTCTCCATGTTATTAATATATTATCATGGGAGAGAATATGATAAACATGTAAGAAAAGTTTTTTCAAATTGCCTTAATGTTTTAAAATTCTGTATGGCCAGAGCATAAGAATGCTGCTTTTAAACAAGAACACTGGCCCCATGAAGTGAGATAGTAAACATTCCTATAAGTTGGACATTAGATCTTGGAATTGGATCTGCTGTAAAGCAGCGAATAGGGTCCCACAACATTTCTATGTGACCCTTGTTTCAATAGAAAAATTGAGTAAGGCAAAAAGTCTGCAGTTACTTAGGTAAGTTGTTAGAAAACAACTCACCAATACATTATATGTTAAAAAAAAAAAAAACCCAAAAAACTCACCTTTGAGGCAATGAGAGACTCAATGTCTTTTTACCCTTAGCTCAAAGGTAGCCATAAACATAAAAAATATGTTTAACAAACTGAAAAAACAATTACATGGGACAAACCTTCTTATCCTGTCAGGCTAAGGGAGAAAAAAAAGCCAGGAAAAGATATAGAACACAACTTACAGAACATTAAACTTAAAATATGAATTTGTCTAAACAACTTTAGAATTTATTTTCTTCTTATAATTTTTTTTAAAGATTTATTTATTTTGAGAGAGCGAGAATGAGAGAGAGAGACAGAGACAGAGAGAGCACATGAGAGGGGGTAGGGCCAGAGGGAGAAGTAGGTTCCTTGCTGAGCAGGGAGCCCGATGCGGGACTCTATCCCGGGACTCCAGGATCATGACCCGAGCCGAAGGCAGTCGCTTAACCAACTGAGCCACCCAGGCGCCCTCTTCTTATAATTTTCTAACCTGAGACAAAGTAACTGTGAATCACAATTTTCCAAAATTTACAAATTGAAATTCAACTGACTTTTATTTTAACGATACAAAGAAAGAGCACTGTTCTGTATTGTAAAATACCTCTCCCTGAAAAATCCTGAACTTTTCCTAACAGTTTTTTAAATAAATGCTCAAACCTGAAATTATTAGGACACCATTTTGTTTCCTTTGTATACCATAGCCTAATTGCCACAAACAAGATTTGTCAGTTTATTGGTTCATTCAGAATGGTCGTGTCTAGTCACCTGACACTTACCACTCATTTAAATCTGTACTGAGAAGATGTACAAAAGCCAAAGAAGGAGCTTTTTAGATACCTAGAGTATCCAAGAATCACCTATGGTGGAAGACAAAATACACAGAGAACACAAAGTAACAAAACAAAGTATCAAGGAAAATAACTTCCTGCTGCTGAGAGAGAGAGAGAGAGAGAGAGAGAGAGAGAGAGTTCTCTTTTAATTCCTGGAAATGGAGAATTCAAGAGCCTTACCCCAAGACTCAAAGACGTGATCTGACTCATCCTGATACAGACTCTGCAACCTGCATTTCTATTCAATCTTAAATACCAAAATTAGGGATATTGCTTTTTACTGTCTATCCCTAGCTATTTTAACTGATAAAAACTTTTTTACTCTTATATTTTTCAAAGATTTATTTGAGGGGTACCTGGGTGGCTCAGTCAGTTAAGCATCTGCCTTCAGTCCAGGTCATGACCCCAGGGTCCTGGGGTCGAGCCCCACATCCATCCCAGGGTCCTGGGATGAGCCCCAAATCCAGGTCCCCACTCAGTGGGAGTCTGCTTCTCTCTCTCTTTCCGACTTGTTCTATCTCTGTCTCTCTCTCTCAAATAAATCAATAAAATCTTAAAAAAAAAAAGAACATGCAATCTCATTAAAAAAATATTTATTTATTTATTTGAGAGAGTGTGTGCATACGTGCGAGAGAGGTAGAGGGAGACAATCTTCAAGCAGACTCCCTGGTGACTGCGGAGCTCACCATGGAGCTCAATCCCAAGATCCAAGATCCATGAGATCAGACCTGAGCTGAAACCAACAGTCAGATATTCAACCAACTGAGCCACCCAGGAGCCCCTTGTTTACTCTTATTTTTATTAAATGTTATCCTCTGAATTTCTCAACTGAATTTTGTCTATGTTTAAGGATTTTAGCAATCCAAATGCGGATGTGCCACTAGGACAGATAAGCACATCCACATGTGGATCACTAATACGGTATTTTTCTCCCAGGACACACCATCCAGTCCCTTCATAAAGAGCTATGCTTACTACAATCCATTATCACTGCAAAATACAATCAAATAGTCAAGTAGATGGACACAGTCCTACTAAAAAGGAAAGAGGAAAAGGAGAGGTCCAACACACTGAGAAGGACCCTCCATATAATGCTCTGGTCTATCTTTGTTCAAGAACTAGGTAGTGGTGAATATTCAAGTAGTTCTTAATAGAAGAAGGTCTAGTATTTTTTCTCTACCAATTTCCCTCTAATTTGGCATTTCCAAATGGATGGGTTCTCTTTTCTGGGCAATATTTAGGGTCCAACCTAAAATGGTTTTTCCAAAAGAGTTTACTTCTCAGAGTTCACTTTTTCTGTTTCATTTTGCTTATACAATAAAGGACAGCTAAATTTCACTTCTAAGTCGGCTTAGACTTGGGATATTCCAAAACACAACTGGCTTCCATGCTGGTTGACAGCTGATGTTTCTGCAAAGGTCTAAGAGGTTGAAGAAAGACTTCCTAGTATAAATGTATAAGAAAACAAAACACATGGGGGACTGAGCGCAAGTAACAGAATCACCATGATTGATTCTTCAGAGGCTCTTCAGGTTCTCCTCTCTCATTCGGTCTGCAGTCTCAGTTCATTTGAGGAGGAACATTGGTGTTACAGCAGTGGCATTTAATAGGGAACTTGATCCTGTACAGAAACTCTTCATGGACAAGATTAGAGAATACAGAACTAAGCGACAGGCATCTGGAGGACCCGTTGATATTGGCCCAGAGTACCAGCAAGACCTAGAGAGGGAGCTTTTTAAGCTTAAGCAAATGTATGGTAAAGCAGACATGAATACGTTCCCGGACTTCAAATTTGAAGATCCTAAATTTGAAGTCATCGAAAAACCCCAGTCCTGAAGAAAGAATGTAAAATTTATTTGGTAACTTGTCCTAGATTAGTTGTACAACTGTATCAGAATAAACATACATTTCTCAGCTGTCAAGTGGTCTTTTAATTCTGATTCCAAATAAATTATTTGGTGATGTTGGGTGTAAAAAAAACAAAACAAAACAAAACACATGTAAACTTAAGGGAAAACATAATTTTGGATTCATACACAAAAAAGCAAACAAGTATGGTGAGAACACAACTACTCAGTTAACTATCTTTCAGTTCTAGTTTGCCTTCCTATTTTTAGAATTTGACACCGTCTCCCTCCTGAAGCTTGCTACCACAAGCAGCCCATTATAATTCTGTCAACTGGGTATAGGCAGCCAACCCTGATTACAGACCTAATCATAAATTTTCTTCAGAGTAAGTTTGTTTTTATAATTAGGGGGAAATATTAAGCTTCTAGGTCAGTCACAGTATCAATCAAGTTTTTACTGGTAAAAGCACCAATCATTTTACAAAAATTATTATGAATTACCAAAGGACTTAATTTACACCTAAAACATTTTTTCATAAAATCTACTTATGCACTTATTAATACACGTTTATCAGTAAACACAAATACTGGTCAAGATTAATTTACTAAACTGACTGATGTTCATATTCTCTTATCTATTCTCAAATTAAAACCTGAACTACAGCAGTAATCTAAGAAAATATTTTAAAATAGAAAGTATTTTCATAGTTAAGGACAAATAATAAATCAAATTAATGAAAAGGAAATTAAGTACTTCAATTTTCACACAAAATAAATACTAAACTACTCAACAATGCCTTTTACCCAGGCCTCTGATAAATACAATTATACCTATATTTAATCTAGCAGTCATCTAGGGTCCTCATTAACCTCTACTAATGTCTAATTAATAGTACAAATACAAAGAGAATACCTTTTTGAGACTTAGTAGGGTTTATAGTTTCCATAGCTACAGAACTGTGTCTCACTTCACTAATGCAGCTTTTCTTCTTCCTGGCTCTCTGCCACAATTCTGTGACATTTATTGGAAAACTGCAACCCATTTGCTACTATTAAATATAAATATTTGCTTTCCAGAAATCAACAAAATGAATCAACCATGCATATTAATAGTAAAAAATTTTTTTCGATCTAAATGATTGTGTCTACTTCATGCATTTTTCACAGTCAACTGTAGTCTAGACTGGCTCATCAAAATTCTGTTTTTGATCATTTAAGATATAGCACAATCAGTGATGTCTAGGTCATCCCATTCACATTTTAAGCTAAAGATTTTGGGTCCCATATAGAAAGCAAGAGAAATTCACATTTGACGAAAACAGGAGGAAGAAAACCATAAATGATTTAAACAACCAAAATATACTCTGTTAAATGGGAAAAACAGTCGTTTTTCCATGTGCCACCACACAATTACTTCTGTCTCAGTAACTTCACCAAAAAAGTTAGTATATCTCAGACTCTTAAAATTATTTTTTCTACTTTTTTAACAAATATATTTTTGTGGTAAAATACATATAACATAAAATTTACCATTGCTTTTTTAAAAAAAGATTTATTTATTTTAGAGAGTGAGAAACAGAGACAGAGAGCCCATGTGAATGTGATCAGGTGGGAGGGCAAGAAGGAAAGGGAGAGGGAGAGAAGCACTCTCCACTGAGCATCGAGCCCAATGTGGGGCGTGATCCCATAACTGAGATCATGACCTGAGCAGAAATCAAAAGTTGGACGTTTAACTGACTGAGCCACCCAGACGCCCCTTACCACTGCATTTTTTAAGTGTACAATTCAATGCTATTAAGTTTACTCACAATGTTGTGCAACATCACCACTACCCATTTCCAGAACTTTTTCATCATCACAAATATAAACTCTGTACCCATTAAACAGTAACTCACCATTGTCCTCTCACCATAGTCCTTAGTGACCACTATTCTATTTTCTGTCTCTATTCTAGATACTTCATGAAATCATACAATATTTGTCCTCTTGTATCTGGCTTATTTCACTTAACACGTTTTCGAAATTCATTCATGCTGTACGATGTACCAAAATTTTATTCCTTTTTAAGGGTGAATAATATTCCATTATCTGTACAATACCACACTTTATCCATTCATCTGTTGATGGGCACTTTAGTATATTCACAAAGTTGTGCAACCATCATCACAATCAATTTTATAACATTTTTAACACCCTTCCAAAAGAAACCCCAATCCTTTAACTATCATCCCCTATCCTCAATTCCCACCCCTAGGAACCGCTAATCTACCTTCTGTCCCTATAGATCTGGCTATTCCGTACATTTTCTATAAATGGAATCATACAATATGTGGTGTTTTGTGACTGGCTTCTTTCACTTAATGTGTTTTCAAGATTCATCCATGTTGCAGCATGTATCAGTAATGCATTCCTTTTTATGCCAAATATTATTCCATTAAATGGATATACGTTTTGTTTATCCATCCATTGATCAGTTGATGGACATCTGGGTTGCTTCCACATTTTGGCTATTTAGAGTAATACTGCTATGGACATTTGTGTACAAGTTTTTGTGTGTACAGATGTTTTCATTTCTGTTGGGTATACATCTAGAAGTGAGATGCTGGATTATATGGTAACTCTACATTTAACTTTTTGAGGAATTACCAGATTATTTTCTAAAGTAGCTGCAGCATTTTACATTTCCACCAGCAGTATATGAGGTGATTTGTCCACATCCTTGCCACACCTGTTATTATCTGTCTTTTTGATTATAGCTATCCTAATGGATATAAAGTAGTATCTCATTGTGGTTTAAATTTGCATTTCCCTAATAACTAATGATGCTGAAAATCTTTTCATGTGTTTATTGGTATAGTATATATTTGTATTGTATCAGTGCCTTTATATTAAGACATTTATACATTTAGCAGTATTTACGGAAAAGACATTAAAGTCAGTATGTTCTTAAGTATAACTTAAATAGGGCACCCGGGTGGCTCAGTTGGTTAAGTGACTGCCTTCGGCTCAGGTCATGATCCTGGAGTCCCGGGATCGAGTCCCACATCGGGCTCCTTGCTCAGCAGGGAGTCTGCTTCTCCCTCTGACCCTCCCCCCTCTCATGCTCTCTCTCATTCTCTCTCTCAAATAAATAAATAAATAAAATCTTTAAAAAATATATAACTTAAATATGTTTAATAGCACAAACAGTATTCTATTGAAGTAAATATAGAGGAATAGTTGTTCCAATCAGTAAAATGGGAGTAGACTCTCTTCATATGTTTGTTTATAGCCAATCACCTAAGTGTTCCTCTCATTTAAAGAACAAATTTTTATTTAGATAGAATAAATTCCTGTGCTCAAAATGTCAATCAGGTACAGCCATTATGGAAAACAGTACGATGGTTCCTCAAAAAATTATAATAGAAATACCATGTGATCCAGAAATGAAATTTCTGGGTATTTATCCAAAGAAAATGAAATCCCTACCTTGAAAAGATACCTGCACCCCACATTCACTGAAACAATAGTCAAGACTGGAGACAACTTAAGTGTCCATCTATGGATGAGTGGCTAAAGAAAATGTGACACACACACACACACACACACACACGTGCAAACAGGAATATTATTCAGCCATAAAAAAAAAAGGAAATCCTGCCATATGTGACAACGTGAATGGAACTTGAGAACATTATACCAAGTGAAATAAGACAGAGAAAGACAAATACTGTATGATCTCACTTATACATGTTATCTAAAACAAAAGAAAATAATATAAAACAAAAACCCTGAACTCAGAGAACTACAGAAAACAGACTGATGGTTGCCAGAAGTGGCAGGTGGTGGGTGGAATAGGTAAAGGTAGTCAATGGTACAAAATTCCAGTTTATAAGATAAATAAGTTCTAAGGATATGAGGTACAGCATAGTGACTATAGTTACCAGTACTGCATTGTACATATGAAAGTTACACTAAGAGAGTAAGATTAAAAGTTCTCAGCACAAGAAAAAAACTTGTAACTATGTGTGGTGACAGATGTTAAATAAACTTATTGTCATAATCATTCTCAATATACACATATATCAAATCAGTATGCTATACACCTAAAACTAATACAATGTTATAGGTCAATTATATCTCAATTAAAAAAAAATATCATAGGAGTGAAATGGCCAAAAAACCCAAACAAACAAAACAAAGTCTGGATTTAAGAATCTCATAATGCAAAGATTAATTCCTAGCAGAAAAAAAAAAGGTTTAAAAAGTATCCTTAACTCTTGACACAATTATTGCAAAGTAGTAGTATTATACCAACGAAATCAATAATACAAGTATGGTAGTCCCAAATTAGTGTTTTAGATGCTATATCACTCCTAGGACCCAGCAGAAATTAAAGGCTAAAAAAATTCCTAAGCAGTGTTTCTGCACGTGAAAGATATACACATATTTTTAAAAATCTGTCTATAAATAATATTGCTAAGTCTTACTTCTCCTTCACTTATATTTAAAGTGAAGTTTGCTGCTAGAATATGACAGTTAACAATTACAAGATTAATTTAATAGTTGCTAAGGACCAGGGTTTGACAGAATTGATTTCACACATGCCCATATATATATATACCCCATTTCACTCTACTAAAATCCCAGGAAAACTGGGGCACCTGGGTGGCTCAGTCGGTTGAGTGTCCGACTCTTGGTTTCAGCTCAGGTCATGATCTCATGGTTGTGGGATGGAGCCCCACGTTGGGCTTCGTCCTCAGTGCAGTCTGGTTCAGATTCCTTCTCCTTCTCCCTACCCCTCTGCCCCTCCCCACTCACACATTCTCTCTCTCTAAAATAAATAAATAAAATCTTTTTAAAAAAATCCCAGGAAATCCATGCCAATACGAGTTGAGAAAGCTAGGCTATGTAGAGCTGATATTGAATAAAAAGGTCTACTTCCAATTCTACAAAATCACCTCATATTAACTGGTTATTCTGTTCTGTGGGGCACAGAACTTTAAAATAAAATAACTCTCCCAAACATACAAGAAAAAGTATTGTTGGGAAAAATTACATTTTCTGATAAAGACACCAGACATGTCCTATGCCATAAA